CTGCAGAGGGGGTTCAGGCCTGTCTGAGCCTCAACATTTTTACACGCTGTTTTTATCACTCCAAGCAGAGAACGTGTAATTTCTGTGCCGCTGTTGGCATCAAATCAACCTGTAAACAGAAGATTCTATTTTTCTATTATTTACAGAAGACTACTTGAACCTTGAATAAAGTCTGTTACTAATAACTGCCTGAAACTCAAATTCTTAGTACTCGGGTGCAGAAGGAAAATGCAGAAATGCAGAAGGAAAATGCCTTTCCCAGTTAATCCCAGTTTGAACACAGAGGGTCCTTTTTATCTTAAATAACCAGCTACACTGCCAGATGATGCGTTGTACCAGCCTACTCTACAGCGTGAAAGTAAACAAGAAAACCTGTTTCTACAGGAAAAAAATTGAGGCTTTTAGTTAAAAAAGTAGGAATGACTGCATACAAGTAAGACTGACCTCTACTGCTGTGGGTAAGGAGCAGCCCAGTTTTCAGAGTTCAGCACAGTGCGAACAGTTCACATCAAACAAGCAGACGTGTTCTCCAGAGATGCTTTTTATTCCCACCACACAGAAACGTGCCACTCCTCCCGGTGCCTACCGCTGCTGTAAGCAAGTACAGCTGCTGTCAGTAACGCGGTATGAAGCACACCGCGTGCTGCCCGTGTGCTTTTCAGCGGTATTTGGCTGAGAAAAAACAGGATTTCTACATACAACCGAGGACTGCTGCAAAGGAGAGAAAGTTAGTCCTTGCTAAAAGAAAATTAATGCCCATTTAACTCACATAGGTAACAGAGCTTGGGAGTGGATGTTGATGGCCAGTGCATGTCGCAGGATTCCAATTTAGCCTTCCAAGAGAGAAATAACCAGGTTAAGAAACATCACAATGTTGGAAGATACCAAAGCTAACAGCATGCAGGAAATCTTTGACAAACGCTTTACTCCTTGGAGTCTGGTAGCTTTTCCTTCCATTGTTTGGCTCACAGGATAAACATTTCCGGCATTAAGTAAGTGTAAGCTAGTAAAATCCACTCGGAAGCACGGGATTCCTGTCTGGTAGGGCCAGCCTCCGCTACTGCGTCAGTACACAGCAGCTCCACGCCCGCGCGGACACTTGGGCTTGCCGCTTCCTACCAGGAATTCCGAGCTGCAGCAAGCATTGCAGATGACTGGATTATGGCATTTTCAAAGTCTTTTGATGGATAAATTGATGGGGATTATAAATTCTTACTAAAAGCTGTTCTGTTTCCCCTGTTTCTGAAAGGGAGTTCGATACAACCAAACTGTTCTGTCCACAGCAGTTAAAAAAAAGCCCTTTTCAAACCTGAAAGACACCAAAACGTTTAGCCAAAATGAGTCTGTTGCTGCGTTCCAGCTTTGCCCCAACTCTCGTCTGACATCCCTCTTTGGTGCGTGCCCACTGGTGGCCTGCCCCATGCCTGCCTTCCCCAGGCCTCCTGGGCCGATGGGGCAAACCTGGAGAAATTGCTACAGGTGGAGGTCTCACATCTGGCCAGCTGCAGCTGTAAACCATGGCACAACCCTCTACCTACAGCCTAGCGTCCTTCCTCTCGGCGTTCAACGTGCAACGGCTCTGAGGTAGGTGGTGTGTTTTGCATATGGAATATTGAAACAGGGGAAGCCTCGGTTTGTGGAGGAGCTCTTCAAGCACCCAGCTAGTTCCCTGAACACAGCCCCAGCAGCTGCCTGGACACTGCTGGGAGCTGGGGGGCGGGACACACACACACACGACCTGGCTGCATCGCTAGCCCAGCACCCAGAACTGGGGTCCAGTTTTCAAGGCTAACGAGATTTTTTGAGAGCTGGGTGGCTCCCTGGGAGCCAGGATCCAGAACTCTCCTTCACAGCAACCTCATGGGACTTGAGACTGGGCAAAGAGGATGGTTTACTTTCTAAAGCATTTCTGGGGGGGGTGGGGGGGAAAAGGTGTTTAAGAAGAATTCTGCTTCTTTTGTATCAGCAGTTCACCAAGTCACGTTTAAAAAGCACAGTACAGCATCAGCCTCACCATCCAGGCTGCCGACCCCTTTCTCCTGCCAACATTCAGGGAAAAAGGGACACTGTACTGGGTTATTTCACTCAGCAGCCGAGTAGATTGGCAGGTGGAACAACCCAGGCAGTTAAAGGTGTTTAAGAAGAATTCTGCTTCTTTTGTATCAGCAGTTCACCAAGTCACGTTTAAAAAGCACAGTACAGCATCAGCCTCACCATCCAGGCTGCCGACCCCTTTCTCCTGCCAACATTCAGGGAAAAAGGGACACTGTACTGGGTTATTTCACTCAGCAGCCGAGTAGATTGGCAGGTGGAACAACCCAGGCAGTTTCAAAAAAAAAGGACCAGCCCTTCCTCTCCTCCTGGCTCCGTCCAAGACCTGCCAGAGGGTGCTGAGCTGAGGGCAGCAAACACCCAACACTTTCACTGGTGGGCAGAGAACAGTACACATCACATTCTGAACTAAGTAAAAGCCCAAAGTCCAGTGCAATGGAGGAGATTCTTAACCTGGGTAAAGCAGGGGAGACAGGAATGTTACCACCGCGGATGTGACCAGCCGCAAGATGATGAGTTCCTGAAAGAGCACAGGGAGGAGGCAGCTGGGTTTGCTCCTGAGGCTTTGGGAGTCAGTTTGAAATTTCCTGGCATCAGAATTAACTGTGGGTAAAGGATTTTACATTAGGGACACACACATCCACTTTCAATGCCGGAACTCTATTTTCCAGAGGAAAGGAAACTTCTCCCTCTCTCTCAGACTTCAGTTATGCTGAAATGCCAGAGGCAGAAATTTCCTTCATCAGGGGGAAATGGTAAAGTGCACAGAGCAACTGGGGACCTCTCTGCAATCACAGCTTTCCCAGAGCCTGCATAACTACGTTACCCATCCTGCTCTCAGGGAGAGACAAAAGGTGGGAGAGTAACTTCATGCACTCCAGTCCAAAAAATCCCCAAGCAACCTACAAGAACACAAGCTCTTCGTCTCCCATCATTCCAAACATCAGGTCTTTTCTCCTTTGTGAATGCCTGGTGCTTCAAAACCAGTAATGAGAAAAGCAGGGTTAGACTCAACTGTTTTACACGCGTTGTTCTTAGCCACATATTCCATCCACCTTAATAAGAACTAGGTGAGAGGGAAAGAATTCCCAAGTCTTTGCTTAGCAAGATGGCCTTGGAGACACGGATCACTGTGCTGGGGGAAGAATCTGCACTGCCTGAGTGCAGCCACCTGTCCCCATCCCAAGTCCCATGCATCTGCCAGCCGCAAACACTGCCTGGGGGCAACTAAGTATGGCTCCTGCTTTCACCCTGTGCCACCCAGACAGGAACGTGCATCACTCGGTACCCAACCCACTCTGGAGCACCGGTGCCTTTGCTGCACATCTACTCGCTGGAATCACCACCAGAGATGATGGACAAACATGTTCTTTTTGGTGGATCAAAGATCTCACAACTCCCAAACTCAATCCTTGCTTCGTAATCCTAAGGAACATCCCTCTGGAGTCCCGAGAGCACTGGACTCTAACCCCACCTTGCAGGAAAATACGACACAGCCCTTACCCCAAGCGCTATGTACGATACAGCCCTTTACGTGAGAACATCCAGCGATCACAAAGATTAGAACCTAAGTAGAAGGATTTTTTGGGATTGAAGACAATCAGTTATTCCCTTCTAAAACAAAGTTTGTCCCATTAAAAAAGGTGACTGGCTTTAATAGTCATTTTTGAAGTTATAAATAAGTTAAAAATTAATTTAAAATAAGCTAGTATTCGAATAAATACACTTCATTAAGTGCTTAAATACATACATGCCTTATTAAAAGTTTTCAAGTCAGCTCACGTTTTAAAGAAGCAAGTTCTACAATACTGCCACAAAAATTTGTGCCTTCAGGAAATAAAATATTGCTTTTCTTAGCCCTTTATAATTTGATTCAGCTCCCATCCCCTTTGATGAGATGGGTCAGACCTAGTAATTATTGCTTGTAAACCTGAGGAAAAAGGAAAAATAGCCTATCCTTAGGCAAGATGCTGCTTCCTGGAGGCAGGTTCTCTGCCTGGACTTTCTAGAAAACCATGTTGACTTTTGTATCTCAGCGGGTTAAAAAAATCCAACACATTTCCCAATAGCATCCTGTTGGATGGGAAGAGGTTTTAGGTTTGACCTGGAACTGATTTCTGAAACATACCGTCTGCATTAAGGTGTTTACAGTTTGCTTCAAGCCCCTGCCCCTGAAATGCCCACGTTCCTTTCTGATGTGTAACTGGTGCCCTGGGCACCCAGGAACCTGGATTCATTTTGCTACACGTGAATGATCTAGTCCTACAGATCAAACAGGTAAGGCAACATCAGTCTCCTCTACCACCGAAAAAGACTGACTGGAAAGAGCCCTTGAAAGTTGAGTAATAGAGAGTCATGCAAACGGACATTCACCCAAACCCCACAATTAATGAAAAAGACTACTGAGAAGTAGGCATCTGGTAGAAAACCTCTAGACCTGCCATTGGAATTCTAAGTTTTTATGTTTAAAATAGCTCCCAGAAGCCCCTCCGTGTCCAAACAGCTGCTCCCCATGGGCACACGAACGACTGTCCCACGGCTCGGCCCCGGGAGGCTCTTTGGTTTGGGGCACAGAGCAGCTCCGGGGTGGCCAGCAAGCCCTACGCCATTCCTCCTTGCTGCTGTAGTTTTAGCCCTGCTATCTAGAAAGATGGGAGCTGCTCTGGGACTGGCTGGAAGATGTCGTGGCTCCACTCAGCTGGGAAAAGCCGCTGTTGCAAGATTCCAGGCTCGACATGGATCCCCTGGGATGGGACAAAACAGATGTCTGTTAGGAAGGCAGCTATTCATGGCAAACTGTATACACCTGACAGGAGATCAGCTGACACTCTATAATGTCTGCAGAAGTATTTGATGTTTTGTCCCATCATTTTCAAGTTTGTCTGTAAATCTCAGGGTTCCTTCATGTCATGATGAAGAATTAATTTTTCACAGACATCTTTTTTCTGAGCTACAGGTATTATACATTGTCTCTTGCAGTTCAGGAGGTGGGATGCAGCTGGGGCCCTCTGTGGGGCTGCATTCACAGCCCCTGCGCTGAAAGGAGAACTAAGAGCACCCCAAAGGCAGCACAGCTCAGGAAACACAGCCACCACTGCCAGTCTGGGAGCTCCAGCACGTCCAGCCACCACCTACGGCTCCCTCTGCCAAAAGCAGACTGGGTTCACAGTAGCTGTGACCGCCCACCCTGACACTCTATGTGGGCAGAGCAGCAAGGAATGGGTTTGAGTGATCCAAGCGAGGAATTTGCTGCTGCTCTGACTCCACAGGGTCTGGCCAGGCCACATCTCAAGGTTGCCACCCACCCATCCGCATGTCTGGTCTACCTAACACTTCCTTCAGCTCCCAGGGAAAGGTCAGGTACTTGCAAAGTACTCCAATTGCTGGGTGATTTGAAAAGCACTTTTAGCATCACGGAAGGCTGGACAAACCCTGCCAAGGCTGATGTATTCACCTACTCAAAGCACTCCCCAGGCCATGACTGACATCCTTCTCAAAGTGCCAAATGAAATACGTCTGCAATAGCCCAGCTGATGTTTGTTAAGTTACCCCAAAAGTAGCTTCCCAAAACATTCCCAATTCAGAAAACTCCTCAGTGAAACATTTCCCCCTCTCCAGGTAGCTGTGAGCAAGAACCGCAGCACAAATTCCACTGATGAACGTACAGCCAAGGGGCCCTTATTCCCTACAGCACCAGAGAGATTCTTGGTGCAAAATGCCAGCAGGTTTTCATCCATCGACCTTCTCACCATGAAACGCACACCCCATGGAGGTCACTGCTGTCTGGATGTGTAACTCTCCCTGGGTCCCCTCCTCTGGCCTCTCTATCGTGGGGCGTATAGTAAATCCCCCCAGTAAATCTCCTACCTGAAGTCCTTGGATGCAAGCACCTCGTAGTAGTATATAAGCTTGCACTTGTGACTGGAGACCTGCAGAGAGGCAAGAACATCATCCACCCGTGGGAGGCTACTGCCAGAACAGGGCAGAGGGCCATGCATCTTCCACTGGAGAATGTAGAAGCCCGGCCAGCGAGTCACGTGAGATCCCTGGAAGAGAAAGAGAGCGCCAGCAAGTGACTCCCAGGTGTCCTAAGAAATAGATGAATGACTTGGCAGAGTCAAAAGAAACTACTGAGCTGACTTTGGGGACTGTACATCATTCACTTGGTTTGCATGCTTGAGCTGCACCCCTGTAATTCTAGGAAAAAAGGTTAATTAGCTTTTTATCATGGACTACAGAATCGCTTTCCAATGGCTCAGCCTGAATTAGGACTGCAATAGCAGCCACTTTCACAGGGTACCCAGAGAACAATGACCACAGCAACGATTTCAAGCACTACAGGATTTCCCATCAATTCTTTCCCTCCCCACCACCAGCCCATTTTGTAGTTTGCTAGGACTGCAAGATCCATGCCAGGACCCAAGCCCATCAGACCTGGATGCTCTCTCCTTCCCGGCAAACCAGTGGCGATTCCATACGACTGTAATCCACCCCGAGGACCCACGTCTTGTCAATCAGCTGCATGTTGTCCCCGGCAGCAGAGGTACTTGGTAAGGTGGCTTCTTTATGACTTGTTTCAGGAGCTCGTTTGGAGTGGAAGAGGCTGAACACCACATCTCCCTTCAGGATGTCAAAGTCCCAGGTGATGACGGATTCCCCTTCCAGAATCTCCACAACTATCTAAGGGAACACAAGCAGCACACTGTAAAGCATCAGGTCCTCAGGTGGCAGCCAACAGCCTCCCTCCCCTGCCAACATGCTTTTCTCTACAACCCTTCCGTTGATCCTGGGCTCTTGATTCCCAAGGAGGATATAGACTGACGCCCATTGCCAGTCTTCTGCCACAGCAGACCTGCCCAGGCATTTTTACCCATCCCTCCCCTGCACCAGTTGCCTGTAGATCACTGACTAGTTATAGGAAAACCTCCAAGGAACTGAAGCAAAGCACTTGGGGCACAAAGAGTGCTTTCTGAGCAGCACCGCTGCTTCTTCAGGAGTCTCAGCAGGCCAAACCAGAGTTACTTTGACATTCAAGCCCTCCTTTTTTGGATACTGTTTCCTTTGATGATACCCATCGGGATGCTCCCAGTATGTACCACCGTATACCACCACCACTGTCCTAGCTACACCTCTGAGAACAGAAGCTGTACTACCAGAAGAGAAACAGAGAGCTTTATTCCCCCAAAAGGAGGAAGAGACTGCATCTTACAGAAGATCAGGCCACGGTAGATACCACAGGCACTGCTTCTCAAATTGCCATTGTTAACTTCCACGCTCGTAGCTGCTAGCTAGCACTGGGCTTCCCACAAAAGGCACACTGCTGCTGAGCCACCTTGTGCTCACGCGCTGGGAGCCCGCTGTTGTAGTCAGCCTTAACAAAAGGAACACAGCCTGACACCAGTACAGCCACTCCTTCAGCCTTGGGGAGTTCAGGGTTGTACCTCATGGGGAGCTCCTCGGAGGACACTTGCAGAGTGATAGATGGTTTCTGTCCACAACCGGATGTGATCCGAGTTCTCTGGCTCTTCCTCTGTCTGATAAAGCGACTTGGGAACAAGGCCACCCTCTGGGACAGTACACTGTAAGAGTCAGACACACACACGACGGTTCACACTCATCTAGAGGTATGGTATCAAGCGTCTGTGCCACAAACACTTGTCAGACAGAGGATGACACCCTCAGCTAGTGTAAGATTTCACAGTGGGACTAAGCTTACTCGAACTGCCATGGTTTATCTGAGCTCCGTTTAGAGAGCCGACCCTCTTCTCCAGGGCATCGCCACCACTTCAGCGTGGTCTCCTGAGCACAAGTTAACTGCACAGAGCAGCGATATCCCAGCCAGAACACAGCTTTAACCATCTTCACAAGGGCATGGAAGGCCAGGGTGTGAGGAGGAGGGAATCGAAGGAGCTTGCACACTGCAGATTCCACATGCACAACCCGAAGGAAAACCCACCATGCACTCTCCTCCCAGGAAGTCTGGGATCACATCTTTGTCCACGTAGTCTACCAGCCCTCCTGGACCCTGGTAGTTATTCCCGCTGTAAATGAGGAACTTCTGCCTTGTGTTCTCATTGATGAAGGGACTGACCTGAAACAAAAAGCAGCAAAAGACATCACTGCCATGCAGACATCACTGCCATGATGTTTACAGCATCTCACATGGATGCTTTAGGCACCAGAGCAGAAGGCCTCACGGTCAGGACTGCAGACCAACAGTAATGCAGAGCTGCACAACTCAAAAGCACTTCCACAAAGAAAAGGATAACCAATGGGAAGAGGACTGTATCGTCTCACAACATTTGCATGTTCAAAACTGGCGGGCACCGCACTACATACAAACCTCACAAGAAATTTAACAAGCATGTTCTTATACTGCCAGAACAGTCAGCAGCCACAGCCACATTTACTACTCTCCAGTGTTCTCCAGCATTCTTTGGTGCTTTCCCATCAACCTGAACACCCTCCAAGTTTAGGCCACTACTGCTACATGGGGATTTGCGGTTCAGGCCTAGCATCCTGTCCTGTCAGAATGACAGCCACTAGATTCAAATGAGCTACAGGCATGCTATGGCTTCCTCTGCTGTGGCCTCTTCACGAGTTCTGCCACCAGCCACCTGGAAGCTTTTCCCTCCCTAACCCTTCAAATTAGCAGAACTCACACTGACTGGATGATTTAGCTGTTTGTACCCACACACGTGCAGTCCAGATTTCACCTACCAGAGTCCAGAGCACAGGAAACACCCTGGGTGCTCGCACTATCAATAGTCTCCCCAGAGTTTCAGGGTAGTTGTCCTCCACAACCTCAATTATCCGAAGCAGGGCCTTCACTCCAGGCCGCCAGAGATGCCGCATATTTAGCCCTTCCAAGTCCACCAGACATGTCCAGGATCTAAAATAAACATGCAGAAAGACCCGTCAGAACCTCCACTGCACAGTGCCTGCTCCGTTTATGATCCACACAGCATTTCAGCACCAGCAGAGCTTGTACAGGATCTAGTGAAGCCAACAAGGGAGACAGCAGTTCCAACAGATGCATATCTCCACTCAGGCAGCAGATAGCCTGAATCCAGTTGGGTTTTCAGGTAAGACAGGCACTCAGCCCCAAAGGCAAGAACATATGCTGTCAGTGTGGAAGGTCTATTGCTAAAAATAATTTAAAAATGCATTTTAAATGAAAGTAGAATCTGCCAGACAGCTTATATATATATATAAAAAGAAAGAATTTCAAGAATCTTGAGTGAAATCACCAAGATAGTAAGATTAACTTCACCTGAAATAAGACAAAAAAAAAGATGTAAGGAAGGACCAATACTTGCTTTCATAGGAAGCTGTAGAATTTATCTGCATTTAAGTCCACTACCCATGGTACCTCAAGCCCAGGAACAGCCCTTAACAGACACACGGCCGTCTGCAGTTTAAGGACATCTTTTAAAACCTTCACAGAAGCATTTTTCTCACCATGTCAGTTCAAACTCTAAGGATACTAACGTGATGGGGCGGCCAAAGCTGTTGGTATTTTCCTCACATCTCTTTTGTCCTTCCTCATTAATTGACAGAACCTGAAACCAAAGACAGTACAGACTAGGATTAGCCTGAGCATGACTGGGAAACCAGGACAACCCAGAGATCTTCAAGAAATAGAGAGCCCAGAAGTATACCAGTTTGAGAACCTGCAGTGTGCAAAACAGAGTAAGAGTCTACATGGAAAATGTTCTCTGCTTACAAGTTGTGTAGACTGTACAAGGTACAGATATTGAAAAACTCAGATGAACTCTTAAGAGTCTCAAGATCTGATGTAATTAGCAAAGCTGCATGAAAGGGTCACAGAAAGCTTACAGCTAAACTGAAAAACATCCTTCTGGCCCATCTCAAAAGCTTCACTTCAGTCTGCTTTTGCCATGCCAAAGCTGCTAAGCCAGCTTTGAGTTGCCAGCCATGAGATGCAGGAGTATTTGTGTCAGGCAGATAGATTCCTTCTGCATTACAACAGGACTTCTAAACACCCCAAGGGAAACAGAGTTCCTCAGGTGAGAAACGGAAGTACAACTTACATGTCGCAGCAGCGATTCCTCTCCCAGGGCTTTCACCAAGCCTTTTGTGTCCATCTGGCCAAGGCGAAGGATGTAGAGTGGTCGTCCATCTTCAAAACAAACATAAGGGTGTGAGGAGGGGAGTACACTAGTCTCTCAGGCTCTAGTACCTTTTAGAAAAGCCACAGTAAATATTTGGGAAGGATAAAAGTAATATCCAAAGGCCATCCTTGTGCTAGCTCTGGTCTGCCTGATCTGTGCAGAGAAAGTTAGCCACCCTGTTTTGCTGTAGTTTTGTACTTACAGGCATTGAACTGCTTTGTTAGCTTTTAAAGCTCCAGCACAACTGGCTCCAAAAATCCCAGGTTACTTATGAGGTCCTTTAACGCAGCTGTGCTGCAGTGTCAACACAAGGGACAGCTTCTAACCTTTGTCTTGATAATGCCATCCTCCAGTGTAGTATTCATCTAAGAGGGCTGGGGGCCGCCATGACTGAAGGATGTAATCCACCTGGTACTGCTTTCGCCAAGACAGTGACTGACAGAGCATTTCTCGAGCCTTGTCAATGTTGAAGTCACGAGCCCGCAGAAATCGAAGGATATGTTCATCTTTGGGGATCTGCGAGGAAAGAAAGTCCCAGGATGAGGACTCCTACGTTACCTGTTCCATAAAGCCAGCAGAGCACGCAGAGTTTTTAATCTCTTCAAACTAGGAGATTAAATCTGCATTCCTCCTCCCTCCTCAGCTAACCCAGCTCAATGCAGCACAAAAGAGCACAAAGACAGTGCCCAGGTCATACCCCTCAGAGATACGGGCCTGGTTTTTATCCAAGTATCGCACAGACACAGCCTGCGGGAAGCTGTTCACTGATCCAGAAGCCTCGGCAAACTCCATGCTGGCTAAGGCTTCCCCCAGCTAGCTATCCCCACGGACAAATACCAAATGAAAGGAATACAGCTGCAAGCTTAGGGAAAGTTAGCACGGGATGGAAACCATCCATAGGTAACATGCTAACCGAGTTACACACACGCTGGAGGGGGATCACGACCGTACGCTCTTTGAATAATGACCCACCAGCACCAATTTCAGCTCTTGGGCAGGCCCTGCCCTGCTGCTGATTGTGTTTCGCTGGTGGTGCTTGAACAGAAAAGCTTTCAAGTTCTTCCACAGGCTTCCCTACCCCATCACGTGATGCTAACTCTTGCCAAAACAAACAAATCAACCAAAACTACAATATACCCCTCTCTCTATCATATCACTTTCTATCAGTAATTTTAGCACCTCTCTATCACATCACTTTCTATCAGTAATTTTAGCATCATGGGCAGAAAAGCCTTCCCTAATCAGGTCTGTAGATTTATTCCAACCTCCTTCCAAACCTCCTGTGTTGCCTTTAGCTGAAAATCAAAGAAAGTTTTCCAGTAACTGGGCAGCAGGAAAAAGCAGGAATCAACAATAACCCCGATAGATTCCAGAGAAGTGCCAAATTTGACCAAAAGCGTGTCACAGTTGCAAAACTAATGGGATTACAGCTGCATATACTGCTGATTTCTCAGTCCCTTTACCCCAACTCCCCCAAAAGTGTTTGGCCTCGTTCACTACTACATCAAGTTTCCATTAAAAATTCAGGTTCTGTCGAACAGGGCTAGTCTCCCCCAGAGTATCTGTACTGTGCTTAGCACAATGCAAGCAATCTGAGCCCTGCTGCAGTACAAAAAAAGCGTGTGTTCAGGAGTCAAAGCTCCTTTGTTTGTTCACTGACATGCTCATGAAGAGCCAACGCAGGGAAGAAAGCAAAGCCACCAGCAGTGTCAGGCTGGGAGCAATCTCTGTTTCACAAGCTGGAAGGAAGCCGCAAGAGAGATCAAGAATTGTTTCCGCATAAAGAGTTCAGACAGCCTAAAGCCAAGCCTAGAAGCGCCTCAAGCAGGGTTGGGAGATAAACACTGCTCAGTGTATTCCAACCCTTTGCAAATACTGCATTTGTACATCACGGACAGAAAAAGGGCAGCCTCCCCAAACAGGGCCTCAGATTTGTTGAGAGGAATGCCACCCAAGTTTTCTGCATCCCAGCAAAGTTTTTTCATCAGATGATTTACCTCCGCATTTCTCAGAGGAAGCTGTTACTGACACAACAGACAAAAACCACAAACAGCAACAAACAGCCCCTGGATCTCCTGTAAGACCCGGGGGAGAGGATGGCAGTTAGGCGCCTTCGGTACTTTCCTCAAAGTCTCAAACCTTCACTGTACATACCTACAGGTAAGAGGCAAATTCAGCGCTTTTGCATGGACCAAAGACAGGGAACTGAGGGGATTTATCCCACTCTGAGTGGCATTAGTCTCTTAATTATCTTTGTCCCCTCAAAGCAGTAACTCCCATATGCAATAAAATTCTTTCAGCCCGTTGCTCTATTTACTAGTGACACTCCACACACCGTCCTACACGGTGCAAAGTGATTGATTACGAGTGCCAAGTGTCTGCAGCTTTAACCCCATCTGACGTTTGTTTTTCCAGCTACTCAGATTTTTGAAGCCAGGATAAGTCTGATTAGAAAGAATAATGATTACTTTGGAAGGAAAAGGGAATGGATGTTGAAATAAGATAAAGAGGACAAAAATAAGAAGCGACAGTTTCCAGGAAACAGGAGTTCTGTGAATATTTTTTGACAGAGGAATAAGGACATCCCTGCTCCGAATTAAAAGAACGGGTTGTCACAGCAAGGTAAGAGTCTCTCCAGAGAAAACTCAAGTCATGTAGGACACGTCCCTGATTCTGTATTGTTCTGACAGGCAATCAAGAGAAGTGAGCAGGTAAGCAAGGGGGTTTAGGACAAAATTCAATAGGCAGCACCATCCTTCCTACTCGTTCAAGATGGTGCAGGGACCAGAGCTCCTGGATCCTACACAAAGGGTACAGGACAGCTCCCAGCTGTCACAGAGAGCGCTCTGCAATCAGCTCTACCTTTCAAGGTAACCAAGGCAGCAGGCAGGAAGAACAAGGGCTTGCACACACTCACACAGCTCCAAGCATCCACGAGGCAGTTGTTTCACTTTTTCTCAGGTGCTGTCACTTTTACCTTCTCCAGCTTCAACTCCCCAGCCTTAACTGGGAGGGGAGAAAAAACCCAACCCACACAACAAAACAGGCAAATGTTTAATTGCGCTTCTTCCACCCGAAACCAAGATCCCTGCAGACCCACATGGATAAAGTCCCACTGTCTTGCCCTCATCCAGGGCTCGTTTCCAGCTGATATCTCTGAAAAGCAGAGATATCTCCTACCACCCCGAAGTCCACACCGTTTTACTGTGCAGGTCACCATAGACCTGAAAAGCATCAAATCTTGGATTTCAGAGCATAACTACACTTGGGAATTGATCCCTGCAGCCTTGGTTTTGTGTCTGCTTTCCTTCAAGTACCTTTTGTCTGGCAGGAGGATGAATCAGGGAGACACAGATCACCCAGCATTAGTAGAACCTGTTTTATTAGTCAAGTTGTTATTAGCAGGTCACTACTGACACAGTTCACTCACAATGACTTGGTCAGTTGGGAGGCCAGCCCAAGGCAGAGCATCCCAGCGACACGATAGCAGCTTGCGGGCAGGTGTTCAGACAGACCCTCAAGGGGTTCTTTGTCCTCCCGAGAATATATATATATTCCTGTAGCCTCTACCTGCATCTAGCAGCCGCCACACTCTTGGACATGGTCCAAGTTATACAACCTGTTGTTGATGCTACTGTATACCAGTGGCCTTGGACAAATTTAGCAGATGCTTGCTGTTCTGAATTTATCAGCGCTTACAGATTCAACAGCCTTGTTAGTCTCTGGAGCTCATCAGCTGCTGGGAGACTTTCACACGCTACCTCACCACATACTGTTGTTCTCTTCAGCCTGCAGTTTTCTGCTGTTTCTCCGTCCACATCCAAAACCCAAGGGCACTCTTGCACAGAACGGACTTCTTCATGAGTTTGTTAACAGAACTACAGCACTAAAATCTTTGTTACATTTTATTTCTACATGGGTGATATGCATTAGGGGGCCAACAAGGAAGCAGGGGGGGATTTTTACAAGGGCCTGTAGTAACAGGACCAGGGGTAACGGGTTTAAATTGAAAGGGGGGAGATGTAGATTAGATATCAGGAAGAAATTCTTCCTGGAGAGGGTGGGGAGGCACTGGGACAAGTTGCCCAGAGCAGCTGTGGATGCCCCATCCCTGGAAGTGTCCAAGGCCAGGATGGACGACGGTTTGAGCAACCTGGTCTAGTGGAGGGTGTCCCTGCCCATGGCAGGGGGGTTGGAACTGAATGGTCTTTAAGGTCCCTTCCAACTCAATCAACGCTGTGCTTAATTTTTCTAAGAAAAAAACCACAGCTTTAAAAATCACGTTTAAAACCTTACACCGGGGTGAGACATGCTTGCTCTGAGAAAGACGCAGCAAAGCGTGCAGAAAGTACTGGCAAAGCTCCTTGCCAACAGTAGCCTCTTTTGGAAAGGCCAATTAAAAGAAAGTTAAATGCCTTCCAAGCCCACAGATGCAGAGTCCCTCCTAACCCACCCGCATGGCTGGCTGAGCAGTTACCTTCTAAAGTTTCAACAGTAACAGCTTCCTGCCTTATCTAGCTGTATTCTGTTTTTGAGGGGGATCTCTTGCTCTCACCATCCTTCTCCTGTTTCTCCCTCTTCCTAAGCACTCTATCTACTCAGCTCACACAGTTATTCTGTCTGTTGCTATCCTTGGTCCTTTCTTCCCACCCAATCTCTCTCCATCAAGAAATCTGGACTTGGGTCCCTCTAGAGGCATTCAAGCTGTCCTGGGTCTTATTTACTGAGCCACATACTTTCTGGCCCAATACAGACACCCCTTCAACTAGGAGCAGCCCAGGCAGGCTCTGAACATTACAGCCCACACTGTGTCTGCGCCTGGCCTTTTACCTGACCTTGCCAAAACAACCAAGTCAACACACAAGTTGTCCATGATCCTGAGTTTATTTGGGGGTTGAAGGAACACAAGCTATGAGAACGACTGCGTTCAGGCTTGCAAAGGGTGCTCTCTCCTTGCCCACCCACCTTGCCTTTGTGCGTTTCTTGAAGCCACCGGCGAAGGCGGATCAAACAACTCTCTTGCATTGGCGTCAGCTGGCCCAGGTATCGCTCAATGTAATCGGCGTCCAATTTGTCAGCTGAGGAAGAAAAAGAACAGTTCAGAGGAGCCTTGGCATAGCCAGAAAGGAGATGTGCAGTCATTTCTACACATCAGGTTACTTATGGTTTACACTGGAGGAGTGCAGAAGCCCTCGTTTTAGCCACCTGAGGGGAGTGATACTCTCACAGTGAATAGGGCATGAGGACGCAGACAGCAGGTAAGGTAAAGCTAGATCACCCTGCCTGCCTCTTAGAACACTAATATTTCATTCAACACTGAACTACTCCAGCAGGAGCTTTAAAAGAAACATCATGAAGTCCAGCCGTGGAACCCCCAATATCAGAAGGATATTGACCACTGGGAGCAAGTCCAGAGGAGGCCATGAAGATGATCAGAGGGCTGGAGCACCTCTCCTATGACGAAAGGCTGCGAGAACTGGGCTTGTTCAGCCTGGAGAAGAGAAGGCTCCGAGGAGACCTCATTGCAGCCTTCCAGTATCTGAAGGGGGCCTACAAGGGTGCTGGGAGAGGACTTTTCACAAGAGCCTGGAGTGATAGGACAAGGGGTAACGGGTACAAATTGAAAACAGGGAGGGTTAGATTAGATATCAGGAAGAAATTCTTCCTGGAGAGGGTGGGGAGGCACTGGAACAGGTTGCCCAGAGAAGCTGTGGATGCCCCATCCCTGGAAGGGTCCAAGGCCAGGCTGGATGTGGCTTGGAGCAACCTGGTCTAGTGGAAGGTGTCCCTGCCCATGGCAGGGGGGTTGGAACTAGATGATCTTTAAGGTCCCTTCCAACCCAAACCATTCTATGATTCTATGAGTTCTGTCACTCATCTCATTAACCACTTCAACACCAGGGAGCTTAAATCCCCCAGTGTCCTAAAGATCTCGCACACAATTCCAATGGCAAGAGGCTGAAAAGCAGCTAGCTGAAAACTGAAATGCTACGCTGCTTACAGACACCAGAGAGAAAGGCAGACTTCTACTACCATTTCTGACAGCAAGGGAGATTTGTGGCCTGAGGAAGAGTCCTATGCACACCAGCAGCTCAAGGTCCTCCCTGATCAAAGATGAAGGACGGGGGGTTTGAGGCTGCCAGCATGCAGAAGTAGCAGCACGTGTGCCATTGGAGACTTGTGCATGCAGGTGGCCAGCCAGGAGAAGACAGTTGCTGAAGGGGAGCAGCACAGGCCAGTAGCTGTGCTAGAGGCATGCAGCCACACAAGAAGAGGGCTGGGAGGAAGACATCTGAGCTAGCTCTTCATCAGGCAGGATTTTTTTCTCCCCACCAGATACCATTAACTACAGAATAAGGCCTGGACACCCATGGGATATGCTGCTGCTGACTGATAATACAGAAATTACATTTGATAAGTGCTACGCCCCCACTAGATGGGATCTGCCACTCTTAGGTTAACTGTAATCTCAAAGCACATGAACATCTCCTGTAGTCAGCTCCTCTGTGGATTTTGATCCTTTTTCCAGATGGATTCCAATACAGAGAAGCTACCAAAGCTTCTGGTGAGACCAGAACCATTGATAACTACCAATTCCAAGCTTTTTCCCTAGTTACACTCAGCAAAACAAGTGCCATCTTTCCTTCCAAGGAATGACAGCTCCTATTTCTAAATACCAGAGCTCTAACTTAAAAGGCTCCTCCTTTTTGTCAGAGAAGACTTTTAGAAGATATCATCAGGTCAACACACACAGAGTCCGATTCAGGCATTTTGTGAGAAATGGAGTAGGCGACATTCCGCGACTTTGTTTTGCCCCGTATCAGGCCAAGACACATCCAAACCTATCTCCAGGAACATTAATTTTGAAACAGCCAAAAATATTTCATAATTCAATTGCAGCATACTGAAGATACCTTTAAACTTCTCCAATTTAAGGTATAAACCACCTTAAAGCTCAGGTCAAAACCAAGGTTTTTTCTCCTCAGCTCCCAACAAAACCATACTGCCTGCATAGTTTTTCTTGGCTCTTCAGGTTTTTCTTTTGGAAAAAAAGAAAAAAGTTCTGTTGTTTGTGTTTCTTGAAGAAATTAGACAACTTCCCCTTCTACCCACCCACAATTCAGAAGAAAAACCTGATGCCAAAATAATAAACTAAACTCATCAGTCAGAGGTACTCAAGGCATTTCAGTTGTCAGCAGCTGCTGCTGCCCGGACAGCACATACCGTCAGGGCTGATGGCCTCTGCCGCGGGGCACGAGCTGCCACTTGGCTCTTTGGCAGCTCCATTGGCCCCAGACTCAAGGGCTACGTCAGCGGCATCACGTCCAACAGCTGGGGTTTGCTCATCCGTCTGTCCGCACACTGGAGGAGGTGTCCAACGAGGGATGAATGTGATTCCTTGGGAGATCAGTTCCTTCAGATAGTGTTCAATCACTTCCTTGCCCTGAAGGAGAAAACTCTCATTAGGAAAAAACCAATCCCATCTCCCCAGAACCAGCAAAGTGCATAAGTTTTCCTCGGGACAGATGACTAATACGTGTAGAGATAAACAGAAGGGAAATACTTGTCTCCTTCCATCCGCATGACCCTGTTGGAAGAGTTTCAGTATGAAAGCTCCATACCAATGGTGAATTGTAACCCTGGCCAGGCAAATTCCAGTGCTGTGGATGCAGGTACCTTTATAACCCTTTCAGCTCCTTCTCCTGCTCCCAAACCATCAGTTAGCTGTCCTGTTCCTCTGCAGCCCAGGGGAAAAGGCCACCAAAAGGCAGCACCTCTGCCCAAGCTCCTGGAGAGACACAGTGCTGATGTGCACCCTGAACTTTCTCTTCCTGCACGAGAACAGCGTCCTCAGTGTCTGAGAAGCCTGGCACCCACGGCACCCACTGCCATCCTCCTGTGGCACAGCCTGCGTCTCCCTGCACAGGCACATTCCAGCCAGCAGATTGTTTTTGCTGGCTTTTTCTTCGCGTGCCATGCTAAGGGACTGCAGATACATCTAGGCGAGCGTACGCATCTAAAGCGGGTCTGTTTTACAGACCAGAGGCACACCGAGAGCAGGCATTTGGTTTTACGGCACGAAGGGAAGCCCATCTCACCCGCTTGATGTTTGAAGTGTACTGCTTCATGGCGATTTTTTCCACTGTGCTTTCAAAGCCAAAAAACGACTTGATATCGAGAGAGGCCGACTGTTCAAAGCAAGTCCACTCTTCATTCTCAGGGTGAACCTAAGGCCAAGAGATAGACAGGTCACATTATGGCAGGACCCTTGCCCCTGGCACCACACCAGCAACTTAATCTCCAGAGCTAGAGTGAGGGGACAGAAGAGGCTCCTATGAGGCACCGACCAACCCGCATTTACCAGTCAGTTTAATTCTGCCAGAGTAATAGAAGCACATCATGAACCCGACATATAGATGTTTGTGGTTAACCCAGCATCTTCCACATGCTCAAGGAATCAGGATTAAACCCCCTTTCTGCCCCAGCAGACCCGAACGGTAACATCTGTAGCAGAAGTTGCATGAAAATAGTAGCGAGACTGCCCACTTGAAACCATCTCATCAAGATCTCCGTACGGAAAGGCAGGGATGGCCTCTCTGAGCATGTGATTAAACACCCCTCCATCTGCAAGGGAATCAAAATGCAAACCAGGGTTTTTTTTCTAGTTTTGGGTAGGAAACTCAGCCACTGTGTCAGTCTCCCCTCAACACAGGGAACATGGCAGATCGCCACCGCCAGTTCAATATCCACCATTCCTTTCTATCCATTTCTCCTCAGTTATTCTACGTATGGTAAAAACCTACATAATCTTTTCCTCTTTTAAACTTAACCCTTTTCTGAGAGGGCTCTGCATTTTCTCTGTAGGTGCTGCTGTTCACAAATTGACATGAAAGAAAAATATTCCAGCCCCACCCCGACCCCCCTCCCCAAAAGACAAGCTCTATAAGGACACGAATTCCCCCAGGGGAGGTATTAAGTAACTGGAAGAACAGGATCGTATTTCTCCAAGCTGCTTCAGAGAGCACTGCAGAAAAGGAGAGATGAGAATAAACCTGTTTCCGGTGCACTCTGGCAGAGAAATGGGAACTGGTAAAAATAGAGCGGGGAACCATCTTGAGGATGCAGACAGCTAGCTCCTGCCCTGTTCCAGGAAAAAACGCTCCCCTCAAAGCCCAGCTGCTGTTTCCTTCCGAAGGACACAGGCCGGAGGCAACGCAGCCCAAGTCAGCAAGAGCAGCAATGTCTGACCAACGCTGGAGCTGACCTGGGAGCATTGCAGAGCCGTCAGTGCCCTCACAGTGACGGCAGTCTGGTGTGCTGTAGTTGTTCGGAAGCCCCATGCAGCCACCAACTGATCTCTGGCTGAGGAAAGCCTCTCAACCATCCAAAACGTTAAAAGCTTTTCAAGTCTTTCTTGCTTGAAAGAAGCCACTTAGAGCTTACTGACTCCCAAGAAGCTGAGCTGTTGTTCATTGCCAAAGGCCAGGTAAGTAACAGGATCTGGACTTTTGTTTAGGGAACAAAAAGCAGTATCTGATTGCACCCAGAAACAGATGAAGCTATTTAATGGTGACTGAACCCTAATAGCACGATTACAATGAAACAACACACTGTTCCTGAAGACACAGCAACAAAATGAGACATCCCAGGCCACAAGTAAGACTCAAAACCTTTCTCCAAGTACTTAGAGAATGGAGATCATGACAAGATGCTAAACCATTCACTGATTTGTGGATAAAATTAATTTCCATGCTTTCCTCTGACCCTCATCATAATAGAAATTAAGGGTTTCCTTCTAAAAATCCAGATTGAAATACATGCCCAAGCTCCAGATGCTTGAATTTCACCCCAAAAGAAACCTGGGGAGCATTCTGAGTTTTGGAGAACCAACTGTGTTTTCTGCTCTCACCCCTCACTACTCTACTCTCACAGTCAACCTAAAAAAGTTTCTCAAGCCCTACGAAAGCGCTGGAAAAAGCCCACAAACCAAGACCTCCCAGCCTAAGAGTATCAAATATTACGTGACAGGCCACTGTGCAAGCTCATTCAAGCCACCTCACCCTGTATGTTTTCAACATGGCTTTCAACGCTTCCTTCACAGACGAGGAGAAACCAGGCACTTACTGAGTAGCTACACGTCTCAAGGACGACAACGCGGTTGGCAAAAGTCTCGTTGTGGGCTTCAATGCGGAGAGTTCGCTCTTTCCAGTTCACTGTGTTTTTCTGGATGAAGAAAACATACTCTACACCTGCAATCTGAGAAGGGTGAAGAAACAAAAAGAAGGGGGGGAAAGGGAGAGAAAAAGTAACTTTAAGAGCTTTTATCTGTCAGATACAGCCAAGAAAATCCAGGACTCTGCCCCCTTGTTTCCACTTGCCTTCTTTAGCAGCCTAGGAGCATCCACGTTCAGTTTGCAGCTCCGTTCAATGACATGTATAGCTCCGTCTTCACTCCTGGACTCATGTAGGATTTCACTCCCCAGGAAGACTGGGATCTCTGGACACGTAGGAAAGCGCTTTTCATATGCCTGGAAATGAAAACCCAACAAATTTCAGCTTCTGACTCGATCAACTTTAACTCTTTCTGAATTAATTATCTTCCAGCAAGAGTCCAACAAAGCAGATGTCCTTCACCCCTCGGAAAAGGGGAGCCAAGCAGGGGTTGAAGTTAAAGCAAAGTAATTACTAATAGAGCTGGCATCTGCTCATGCCAGTCATGGAGCTAAGCATGTCTTGCAGCTTTTCTTCCACACGTGAAGTTAAAACAAAAGCCTGTGTTAAAGGGTACTGGGAAGGGACTGATAATATCTTGAACATCAGGGACTTAATCTTAAGCTAGCAAAAGTAAAACACAGCTCTGCTGATTTCTGCTAGCTAAAGACTCGACCCAGAGGCAGGAAAATTCAAGTCAGACACATTGCCTATATGAAAAAACTACTTGAAAATATTGAATACTTCCATGCCTTGAAAATCTGATGTTCCAAACAGTTCTAGTTGTCCTAGACTACCAAGGGCAAGGCCATCAATTACTGGCTACTCACTTTGCCTTGATTTATCCATTTCTAAAACAACTCTGTCCTGGTTCTGAAATGATCCTTGTTTTAATTAACCTACATCCCTCTGAAAAGCCTTTTATTGAAAGATTCTTTACCAACTCCAGCAACAATCCAGCTTTCCATGCTGCAAAGTTAACTTGCATAAATGCTACCTACTGTTGCTCCTCTTTCCCCAACTTCTCCATCTCTCATTATACTGCAAGATCTTTGCAGGATGGAATGTTTTCCTTGGATTTCTGAAAAATGCTCTCTTCCTATTTCCCTGAGCTACACCATTTTGATGTTGGTGGGTGTTTGTTTTTTTTTTTTGCTATCATTCCACAGCCGAGTCACACCTCTAGGAACTGCTGCCATCTTCCTGTCTTCTGCAAGACACAGCCATTTTTACAGCATGTAATTCTCTCCTGAGCATTTATATTTTTATCCACCACAAAAGAAAATATTAATGCGATAATGACGGAGATCGGCTCCATTGTCAGCACATGGGCAGAGCCACAGGCACACTCAGAATGGCTGCATTCTCCGTTAACACAGCAGTTCAAAGGCTGGTTGCCCCTGTATATATTCACAGCACCAGGGTATGCAAATAATACCTGCTCTTAAAATAGCTCAGGCACTTAAGGACACATTCCCTACCTCCTGCTCCTAGACCTCTGGATGGAATAGGGGTTATTTCAGATTACCTTATTGCTCCAGTATGAGGCGGAAAGTGCAGACTACCAGCTGGAGTTCTGGCCATAAGCAATGCACACAGGTCTCCAAGTTACTGAGCAATGTTCTGCTTGCTTTACCACCTTTCTTGGAGAACTTTACCCCTAGCTGTGAGGCCTCTACCTGTGCTTTTCTTTCCTGATCACAACTAAAATGTTTTAGATAAATGTAAAGCTTCCATGGCAAGTGGCTGTTTCCAACACCAACCCACCTGGCTCCATACAAAAGCACACTCCCTGCTTTAAAGAAACTCAGTTTGCTAAGAGGGAACTCACAGGCAGCTGTCAGGCACAGCCGCAGGATCTGCCAGCAACACACTCCTGCTATACCGTCACTGTCCTCATGGCCACAGAGCAGAAGGGGTGTGTCCCTTATCACCCACTAATATCTTCAGTTGCCAGCACATTAATCTTCTCAGGCAAAGTTAATACTTCCTACTTGTGCCTCTACCTGCCCTCTCCCAATCCCCCAAACCCAGTTACTGGTATCTTGAGGTCAAGCCTTTACCCCCTTCCCCCTTGCTCATCTTTGCTATTCTAGCATGCACCAGCCAGGGTCTCTGCAGGCCACCCGTTCTTGGTTCCCGGCCCCAGCAGGCAGGCACCGAAAGCTGTGAATTCCTTTGTAGGCCACTGGACACCAGAACATTTAACAACTATTTTTCAGCTGTGTCCCATGCCCCTCCTCACAGTGTCCTTATCACACTCGCGAAAAGCCTAACTGAAAGCCCTACCCTAAAAAGAGGGCTGCCCCAGGTAATCCCATGACTTTGGAAACCAGCAGCCAGAACAGAGGCTACACAATTCCTTAAGTGCCAACAGATCACATGAAAATGGTACTAGGAATGTCCATAGGCTTGACAGCCAATCACAAACCCACCGAAACGCCCTTAAAACCCTGCATCTGTTCCTGCAAGGAGTGCCAGGCCCTTCTCTCCCCCAGCTACGCAGGACCAGATCCCTGGACGCCTGAACTGGGGCACACTCTCCACTGCCTCAGCTCACAGCTCCAGACGAGCTGGTAACACCCTACGTTCCAGGGCTCCACGTTCACCAAGCAAGGACCGATCCCAGGAAGCAAAGGCTGAGCCAACACCACCTATTTCTCTGGATCAGGATTAAGGCCGACCAGGGATTTCTTGCCCCAAGTACTCATTTCCCACAAATTTGCGAGGCACAAAGCAGCCGTGCCATGAACCCTTGAGGCAGTTTGCAGAGAAATGAGCTGTCCTACTAAGACAGCGAACAATCAAAGCACAGATACCCTCCAAAGGCCGCACCAGGAGGACTGAGCTGTAAGTGCCTCCTTGCCGCTGAAAGACTAGAATGGCCAATATGAAGCCCTCCACACCACCACAGAATGAATCTGGGTACCTCTGGCTCAGATTTGAAGATCCAGCCATTGGATCTCAACACACAACTGTGTTTTTTCTCCTTTAACTATGCACTCAACCCAGTTGGATACAGGAACCTCATAAATTGTCACTAAATCTATCATAATCGAGACAAGGACAGCTACTAACAGAGCTCAGTCACTGTTTGGGACAGCTAAACACCTCCTGGGGAATGAAGAAAGGGCAGGGCAGTGAGGCACATGCCTATCCGCAGCCTTGGTGTTATAACTAAGGTAACTGCCTAAACCTATCACCTAAACAGGTGGAACATTTCCATATTTGAGAAAGAATCCCTTTCGCACATTGACACGAAGTCCTTTACTAATCTTCTTTGCACAACGACTCTAAAAATACCGCAGCTGGAGATGATACGAAGGACAGCTGAAGCACCACGCTGCACTCAATACAGTTGTACCGTTGACCCGCCTGATCTTGTGTGGCAGAAGAGACTGAGCTACCAGCAGAGCAACCCATCTTTTGCACCCAGCCTCCTCTTACCAAAATCAGCATCTATCCTCCTTTTTGCTCCAGAGAAACCAAGGGAAATCAAAAGACAGAAATATTTTAATTATTTTTCAAGCCATTGCCAGAGCCAGTTATTATCTCCTCCCTCTGATACTGCAGATTGCAAGGGGAACAACAGAAAATCCCACTCAAACAAAGGACACAGAGTGCTTAATATTAGCTTGTTTTAATACTTTGGCTGCTAATCTGCCTCCTTTGCTCTCTCATCTCCCTGCACAGTAGCTCCACACTGACTAGTACATAGGAGCCATGATTTGTCTCTCCTTTCTCTCCCAGAAGGAATAAGAGCAGTATTGTGCCGCTACATTCTCTTGAGCACACCTCCCCCGTACTGCTTTAAGATACCACCCCCCTTGATGACCAAAGTCTTGAACAGGATCAAATATATATCCATAAAACAAAGGGCTCTACAAGGCCACCCCCTCCCTTCCAAACCCCACCGGGATTAACGTGGGCAAGCAGACCCAGCTAACACTGCGCACCTCCTGCAAATCCTCCAGCCCGGGCAAGCCAACCCGTCACGCTGAATTCCGACTCCTTTTCTCTCGTGCTCAGCCTCTAGTGCTGACCTCGCATCGAGTCAAGTACCCAAGCAGTTCACAGCGCAGGGGCTGTCTGGCCGAGCCAGGGGCCTGCACACACCTGGTTTACCAACCAAATTCTCTCAACAACCCACTTGACATTAGTTATTTTCTTAAACGTTCAGATGAATGGGCTCTTTATACCCAAAACAACCATATCACAAGAGATGGTGGTTGAG